CTGCTCCTGCTTCTCCTGTGGTTATCCAGCAGAGGAGTTACCTGTCTGCTCCGCTTCTGCTGCGGAGGTGATTAATGTGGTGGCGTTACCCTCTTCCTCGAGATGAAGGGAGCACCAGGCTTTGGCTCCTTTCATCGTAAACGGCTGCAGACGCGAGCGGCGTCACCGGTTCTGTTGGCTAAGGAGCAGAGGGCATCCGCAGCCTGCCGGGATTAAGACTTGTGAAAGTCTGCTGCCTTTAGACGGTAACTGAAGAGAAAGATATTGATTACTGGGAGAATAATTTCAAGTATGTTGAATATTAAAGACGTTAGAGTCATAGTTAGCGCCTTCTCAGTGGCATGCTGGCTCCTTACCATTACATTTGTGGAGCGTGTAGTAACGCAGCTGCCAGGGTCCCTTTTAAAGCCATGGGTGTTAGAGCAAATACAGGATGATCACATGAATGAGCAAGCTTTCTATTGTCTCACTTCCTTGGAAGTTTAAATGGAGAATTAATCCTCTGCTCCGTTGTCATCCTCCACCTTCCCATCCATCTCCTTCCTCTCTTCCCTACAAGTAGTCTAAGGTTTAAGTGTGAGGAGAAAGTAAGATTGGCGGTTTTAGCTGTTAAATGAGGTTAATCAGCTTGGTAGTGGGTGGGAGAAATGTGCTCTGAGGTTAAGAATGGGATATTAGTGGTTAGCAGGACCCTTACTATCAGTCCAGTGTAAATTTCCTTCTGTCGGGCATGAACTTTCTGGTTAAAAACTACCCGATTGTTTTATTGTTCCTATAAATGAGAAACACAGAGATTGTGGGGAGAGCGTGGATGTGTGTAAAAGAAGGCGTGCTTTTCCTCTTCTCTTGAAGACACTGTTTTCTTGAGTTTGACGGAAGGGAATTAGGGCTGTAAATCACCATTCTGCAAAATGCACTTAACTGGCACAAAGAAATGGAACTACTGGAATCTTTGCGGGATGAGGAAGGTTAGTCTGAGCAGACTTTGAGATGCTTAATTTTGGTAGCTGCCCAGAGTGGCTGAACTGCTGAGGAGGAATGCTAATCCTTTTTGCTAGCTTTTGGCAGAGTCAGGAAAAATATGCAGATATGTTTTTTCCAAAAATACTTCCCTTTTTTTGCAGAATGCACAGTGCACTGTGGGGATGCAAATAATACAGCAGGATAACCTGAATGCAGCCAGTATTCCTCACTTCAACAGTTAAAACCTTGAGAAGCAGCGTATCAATTTTTGCAATGTCTGCTTGACTTCCATCCATAAATGACAGCCTGCTGGCAGAAAGACCAGGAGGAATGATTAAAGCCGTGCAACACTCCTTCTGTAACAGAAGGAGACCATCTTACAGATTGCGAATATAATTGACTGCTTTAATTAATTTCACCTTCTTGACTTTAATACGAAAATCTGAAAAAAGGAGTTACTATTTTTATAGAAATGTACATGTAATTAGTAGTCAGAAAACAAATAGGATATGGAAATACAAGCTAAAACATTTGATGACAAATGCAAATTTCAGCCTAAATATTTTACTCTGCTTGGCAGTAAATCGTTGCTAGTAAAAAGATGCACAACAAGTCTTCCTGCATAAATCATACTTCTCTTCAACGGAGAATTCGCACGCTGTTACGTTGGATATTCCTGCACCACAACAGCAGGCAAGAGCGGATGTAGCCAGCATGTCATCTTGGCACTGCGCTTGCCGGCGCTGCTGCTACTGCATTAAGATGTAACCCGTTCAGGTGCCTCTGATCGCGCCTGAAGACAGCAAACTGCAATACCACCGTGCCTGCCCGCGTCCTTTCCTGCGGAAATGGTCCGCCCTGGCTTCCATTTCAGATGGGATTAAGTTTGCGCTTTGCGTGCGGAGATGTATCGAGTAGCGTAGTGATTATGCGTGCATCAAATCGTCTGCCTCAGTGGGAATATCCTGGAATTCTAGCCATCACCAGACTTCTTTGTGGATTTGAAAATAGGGTGAAACGATGTGTTTTGGCAGATTTAAGAATTTTCAAGAATGCTTTGATGTAACAGATTTCTGGGCCCATGGTTTGCCATTTTGAGTTAAACTATAAAAAGCGTTGAAGTGGCAACAGAAATTATCATGACTCGGAGATTACGTTCACAGGATTGTTTCTAATCATGTGGTATCCAAAGTTTCTTTTCCAGGGGTGTAATTCCTGTTGTTATAATGGACTAGGCAAGTCTCATGTGGCACTACTGCCATTCGAAGAGAGTGGTACGCATTTTAATTTTGCCCCCCCCCAACTCAAACCATATCCACGTGTACGAATGTGTATTGTCACGTTTTCAAGAATCTTAGCTTTCAAGTTAGTATTGTCAAATACTGGGGTTTGCTCTATAAAGAGTTTCGGTGCTTAAAAAGAGGAACAGTTAATCCGATAATGAACTCAAACATAATGATGCTTGTAGTATGAGGTTTAATTATACAGTTTGTAACTGTAATTCCTTTTCTTCTACCCTTTCAGTACTGCAGCAGCAGTGGGTGTATATACCCTGCGTTCAAGGATGCTTGTCCGAGAACTCTGCTTGCAATTGTAGTGCTAGGAAATAGCTGAGGCATGTGGATTATTGAGGATTTTGATGTAGAAGGCACATAAACATATGAATTGATTGGACCAAACAGATAAATAGCGAGACTGATTCAGATAACTTACCTTCAACTGATTTTTTTTTTTTTTTACTGAAGATTTCCCACCTTATTTGCAACCAAATATTGCATAGGAGAGCAGGAAGAGTACTGATCCCAGTAAGCGTGGATTTAGCTTTTCTTCTCTTACAGACTCAGTGTTACTGGTTTGAGGGTGTACAAGTGAGGGGGACCATCTGCTTTACATTTCAAGTAACTGTCATCATCCTACAGCTATCAGAAGACTTGTGATTTTGCTGGGGGGAAAAAAAAAAATTACTTTTCTCCATAGTTAACGCTTCGCCTGCAAATCTTGTCTTTCAGATGGGAAGAGGAACTGACAAGAAGAATGAGCCTGGAATCTATGGTAGAAACCTTGCGAGAGGTAAGTTTTGAATATACGTATTGAAAGGTATAGGTTTTCTCTGTACCCTTTATTATGCTAGTAATTATTTGAATTTGGTGAATTAAAAAGCTCTCTTCTAGCTAGAGCGGCTGACTGCGTTGCCGTGTGCTAGAGAATAGCGTTAATGTTTGGAAGCTGAAGCAGGAAGGTGCTGAAGTTTCTGACAGTGAGACGTGGGGGTGGTGACATGCCTTATCAGCCCACCTCAGGTTAAGTGAGGAAGCATATGTTGGCCTGTTACCTCTTAGTTCTTTGTGTGCTTTCTCTCGCAGGAGGCGCAGGAAGCGGAAGCTCTCCAGGAGGAGTTAAATGAAAAGATTGAGAGACTGAAAGCAGAACTTGTGGTCTTTAAGGGTCTGATGAGTGATGTAAGTACACTGGAGGGCAGAGTGACCAGCTCCCACTGCCTTTGTGAAATGTGTGTGTCATGCAAATGGCTTCATTCATAAAAAGGTTATGGTCTTAGTGAGTGCTGCTTTGTAGTTAGCATTATGGCTGCCTTTATGATCTAATGCATCAGACAGATCGCCCTTCCCCCTGCTTCCTGTCTGGTCTGTGTAGAGATGCATTAACTTGCTGCTTAGCCCATAACCCGGACTCTTCCCTCCCTTCCCCGTTCTCCGCAGCTGGCAGTGCCGGCATTCAGATCTGCAGCCGTGGAAAAAAAAAATTGTTGGAGAACTCGCAGGTTAGGGTAAAGGGTTCATCCCCGTGCAGCACCGTGTACTGCTAACGAGGGGGATTTTGCTCTGAATCATGCAAGAAAGTCTTGCTCAAAAAGGAACACGCTGTATGTGTTTCCCAACTCCCTTTATGAAAGCTCTGAAGAGATTAACCCAGTATCACTTGTTCAGGTTCTGGCTTTGTTTCCAGTGCTGTTTCGACCTAATTTTTTTTTAAAAAAAACTTGTTTTCTCAGTAATTTCCTCATGACTCATTAGATACTGACTTTCCTTCAAAGCTGGGGGATCTCTTAGACTGTGACTGGATAATTTTCTTACATTTAGACATACTGAGAGCATGCACTCATGCAGCTATCTAGAAAGATAAGCCAGGTGAACATTAAGGAAGGTGCCTTTCTCTGTACGACTGAAGTAGTGCTGATGCCAGTTGCCTAATGAATATGTCCTATTATGCTTATTTGTTCTGTAATTTTGTGTAGAACTGCTTCCTTCTGTCTTTATATAAGCTCGCAGAACCTGCTCCCTGGTGTCAAACACATTCTCTCAGGGCCACTAGATCTGTTCATGTGAAATTTGGCAGTTAGCTGTCTCTTCTTTTGGTGTTTAACCAAGCATGCCTATTCTCGATTAGAGGCAGTGTGAAAGGGAGAAACTTGTTAGGGCTCCATCGCTGTGATGACTTTTTCGCTGAGGAAGAAATTTTGCTCAGGGTGTATAAAAAGGGTGCTGGTGAATCGAAACATCCTCCTCAACTTGAGAGAAAGTGTGCTTTGGGCTTTGCAAACTCTAAGGTAGAAGAGAGCCTAAGGAAAGCAGTGAGAATGCTTGTTTTGAATCCCACTGTGTAAATATTTAGAGCAGAGAAATGCAAAATGTTGGCACGTGACTCTCGCTAGCATTCCTGTGGCCAAGGATTGCTGGTACCTATTCAGTTGATAAGATTGTGTTTAGAGGGTGTCAGTGTTTAGAGATTTCTTTTTCTCGGTGTGTTTAGAAAACAAAAATCTCTAACTTGTCCAGAGGTGGTTGACAGGGGCTGGAGAAGAACTCTAATAATTTAAAAAAAAAAGAAAAGAAAATTAAACAAAAACAACCCTAAGCTTTCTTCTTGGAAAGGTGATTTGGTATTTAAGAAAGCTCCGCAAAGAGGTTTTCTGCTTTTCTGGTCAAAGTGGAAGCATTGCCTAGCCACTGAAGTGGTACTTTCCAACAGAGCAAGCCTCGTCTAGGCTGGAAAATATGCTTTTTGTGGAACACTGTTTCTTCATAAGGAGCCAGCTGTACTGTCTGAGTGGGAGTATCTCTTAAATATTATGTTTATAATTACTGCTCAGAGTGAAGCAAGACAAAATATTTTTCATGTAGAATTTTTGCTAGGCTGGAAGCCAGATTAATGCCAATGAGGAGTATTTTCTGTCACAAGCTTTCATGGATCTCTTTAGATCCAGTCTTGATTTTATGTTTTCATGGTATGTATGAAGTTGCTGTGTCGCCTGGATTCTGTTTTAAAAGCAACTTCTCCTTGCAGGCATGGTTTTTCTGTCTGAAATGGGGGGAGTGTTGCATACTCACAGGTTTTGGATTTCATTCTATTCTGCACATGCTCAACAGGGTTTTTCTCCTCCATTTTCAAAGCTTTATTGACCCAATAAAAATTTACTGTTGCTGCATCTGGCAGCTCTTTTGGGGTGGGTATAGGTTTCTTGGTGACAAATCACTCGGAGTTGAAATTCTATTAGAATCAGATATGAATGTTAATTGTTAGCTGTCTAGTCCATTTAGCTTGTGCGTGTACTGCCTTTCCTGGAGAACAAGATGTGATATTGTGTAAGAATGGTATGCCCTGGGGTTAGAGAGATACTGCGGGGTATCTCTTCTTTCCTGAACTGTATAATAATAGAAGATAATCACTGCTGTCCTTCCTGCAGCCCATGACAGACCTGGACACAAAGATTCAAGAAAAGGCCATGAAGGTGGACATGGACATCTGTCGGCGAATCGATATCACAGCCAAGCTGTGTGATGTAGCGCAGCAGCGCAACTCTGAAGACGTTTCCAAGATATTCCAGGTGATTAGGCCATGAATTTTCCATAGGGTAGGACAAGAAGTGAGGGGACAAGAGGGAGCAGTGTTCAGGAGTGTGGTCCAGGTCATTTGCCTTTTCTTGAAATTTCTCTATGTAGACATATTTTCTTCTTTCTCAGTCTTGAAGTGTAGCTCTCTTCTGCAGAAGCTGCTGTAGTACTAAAAGCACAAAACTTAGTTTAAAAAAAGAAGTCTCAGGATGACCTTTAAGACATGCTGTTAGTCTGCTAGTCTACAATGAATGCAGGGGAAAAAAGCATTACAGGGTCTAGGCTTGTATAAATGGCTTCCTCACGTTTGTTCCCTTCACAAGTGAGAGGTTTTAAGCTTGTAGAACTGTCATCTGAATGTTCTTATTTCTGGCTCAAGCTCCGTGGCCAGAAATAACGCTTCTGTGGTGGTGAGCTATGACTGCTTTGTGAGACTAGAAACTCCAGTTGCTTTCCTTGAGCTACTGTGGCTCCTTGGTGCTAGCAGGAAAATCATGTAATTTGCTCCAAAAGCAAGCGGTTACAGCTCTGCGTGGAGCAAACCTGTAACTCCCAATGCAGTTGGTCTTCTGTCATAACTACAATTTCAATTGTGATTAACCCAGCTTCCTTCTACTTTGGTCTAAATGTGTCTTGTCCAGTCTTTCAGTCGGTCTGATGCTTTTCTCTGTACAGTGATGCCATATAGTGTGCTAAATGCTATAAAAAAACCACTGTAAAAGATCCTTGTGGTCTCTACTGGTGTGCTTTCTGGCTGTAGTGAAGTTGCCGAAATGTTTGACGAGTGGGGGTTTGTTTTTTTTCTTATGTGTCCTGAAAGACTCAGATCTCCTTACAGGAGGCAATTATTTTTCTAGCATGTTGAGCCATTGCATCGTGCTAGTGGTTCCTTCTTGTCTTTGAGTAGAATTGCTATGTCCTTCTGCTCAAAGGTGACTGCAAAGCTCACTTCTGGTCAAGCATGCAGTGGTTAAAATGATCAGCATGGAGAACAATACCAATAAGGGACGGCTTACATGCCAAGTAGAGGAAAAACTACAGTAGGTTGGGAAGCGGACTGTGTTTGTGGCACCATCTGTGAATATCTCTTACGTTCACAGTCCTCAGATGAAGAAGTGACCCTCTGCGCCCTTGGCAGGGGTATCCCTTGAGTTCTCTGCACATCTATGAACTTCATTTCTTTGAGGTTGTCCAGGCATTTCATGGTTCAGTTAACCCTTCTTCTGTCAACCTGAAGACTAGACCAGTCTGCCTCTGCTGATGGGGTGGGAATGACCCTGAAATAGAGGCTATCTAGAAGGGCTTCCCTTCTACTCTTTCGTGGTGGTTCAATGCTGGGAGCAACAGCCTGTGGTGGTGGCAGGAGAGGGAGAGTTCTGTCATTGCTCTCGAGCCTGCTGCCTGGGCACTCCTGCCAGCTTACGCTTTTGCCCTGTATCATTCTAACCTCTGCATGTTCTCTGGTAGATCATAGACTGGTGTCAGTGAACAGATGAACACCTGTAGAGCGCTGGCAGCCTGCAGCTTGCTTTGCTCTTCGCCGTTCTGAACTGCTTCCCTGTGCTCTGTGTTCACCACTCATTAACAGATGCAATTCCTGTCTTGAATACGAGCAATCCCTGAATTGCCTGGGAACTGCTGAACAGTTATATTTGCTCAAACCTAATGCCTCTCCTTCTTTATTTCCGCCCCTCATGGCGCAGCACCTCAGTTGAACCTTCTAGTTACTGCTCTTCTCTCCAATTAAGGTGGCTTCCAAGAAGAAAGAACGCAAGCACACATCTGATGATGACCTCTCTGAACAGGATGGAGACAACGGCAGGTTCTCTGATGATGAGGTCAGCTGTTCTTTGAACATCACGGATGAAATGAAGCGTATGTTTAATCAGCTGTGAGTATCATGGACGATGAGGGGAAAACTTATTCTGAAATGCAGACTTTAGTCCCAGAACACCTCAGCTGCCAGCATGGTACATACTTGAAGGTTTTCTGGAAGTTCAAATAAAAACTGATTTTTGCTTCTCCCGTAAGTAGGAGGAACTATAGAGAATACACCAAACATCCAGTTTTACTATTATATGCTGTTATAACAGTAGCAAAAGAAGAAACATGCAATAACAAAAAAAAAAAAGTACAAAACTTGAGTCTGTTCTGTATGTTTGGCTGAATAATAGATTTCTAGAGTTTTGGAAAGAACCTTGCTGCTGCTTGGGCTGGATAGAATTTAGCAGTGTCACCGAAAACACAGTTCAAAATGGATACAAACTTTTCTAGTATTTTGCATGATTTTTCAGTCGAGCTATAGGCAAATGGTAGTGGTGGATCTGTCTGGAAGATCAGTTCTAGCAGTGGACAACAGCTTATAGATTCCAGGAATGTCGGTGTTGTAAGACTTGCTGCACAGTCTGGTCTCCCAAACTGGAAGAATTGCAATTTATTTTGCCTAAAGCTTTACCCCAAATGGGAGCATTGGGAAGCCTGTAGCAGCCGAGAAGAGACTCTCTGCACC